GGGGGGGGGGGGGGGCTCTAACAATGGGGAACTGTGCAGGAAGCCCAGGATTGAATGAGTACGGAGGATAAAATGATAAAACTCTCCCCACTGAGAGGGCAATGAAAGACCAGAGAAAATTCTGTGTTGCCATTACCTAAAGGATGCATACTAGCTTCAGAGACCCTCCCTCCATTTTGACCTTTTCCATTACATCAGCCTAAGAGTGACCACATACACAAAAATGGAGTCCACAGTACTTTCATGGCAATATTTTTTAAGTTTATGAAATAACTAGACAAAAGTAAACTGATGCTTGTGTCACTATTATGAGATTTTTACTCAGCAGTGACTGAGCCTTACTTCCCAAGATGATGGATTTTTTCCAGTAATTTGGCATTCTGAATGAATTTGTCATTAAGCACCAAATTAACATTGTTAACTCAATTAGAGCAAAATGCAGAGCTTTGATGCTGTCTACTATATGACCATTCTCTTCACTCCAAATCCTCCATCACCGTGAATACTTTGCTCCACGAGACTGGTTGCCCCTAGTAAAAGCGGGTAAATGCTGTATGGTAGGGTAATACATCCTGGGGAAAAAAATTGCTAATTGAAAAAACAGTAACCCAACGTTTTGACTAATGAAATGAAAAACTGGGACATTTCAGGCAAAACAAAGAGAATGCTTTGACACTCTAAGGGTATTTATACACGTGCTTCAGGGAGGGCTTTAATTAGAGCAACTCCCAGAGCCGCTCTAATTAAAGCGCCCAGAGTACCTCATGTATCAGCATCCCTGTGCTTCAAAATGGCACATTATCTAAAGCTTGTCAAAGGAGCTTTAGTTAAAGCACCCCTGCCACCATTTGGAAGTGCAGGGATGCTGATACACAAGACACTGGAGGCTGCTGGATCATGGTCATTACCATGTTCCAGCAGACTGATTAATCGAGTCTGCTCCAATGTGCTGTAATTACAGCGTGTTGGAGCAGCCTCCCTGCTCTTGTATAGGCACCCAACAATCTCATGTGGAAAACTGGGACATATGGTCACTCTAACTGTGGATAAAACACATTGTACAAAGGATGGGGAAACATATGCAGAGCAGCTAACCTCAGGCATGTGGCATCACCTCTCTGTTTTTTGCACTCTCTCTCCAGAGTATTACAGTGCTCTGTCTCTCTTTTCCTGTTGCTGAACAGCACTATGGGACTTAGTTCTGTGCTACTTTCCAATACATATCTGTTAACATTTCTAGGTATTCAGAAGCCCTTTTCTGTCTGCTAACTGTGTTTGCTTCTTCCTCCATTTCTTTGCTTCTCTTCCTTAGGGTGAGGTAGGCGAGGCAGGCCTACCAGGTGCACCTGGCCTTCCTGGACCTGTTGGCCCCAAGGTAACCATGAGGTGAACCATTTGGGCTAGTCAGTACCTCCATCTTCTAATGCAGCTAATTACCATCTAGATCACATGCCCCTTTTATACTATTCATGGCATGTGGTACATTCTGATACTTTGATAAGGAACACTGTAGGAATGCCTTGATACCCTCAACAGACCCTCTTGAAACTCTGTGTACATAATGTGCAGGCTGAAGACTTATTTTTATAGAAGGACCTGGACAACTGTCAGCTAATGAATGCACAGCAAGATTTATTATTCTTTTCTCTCTGAAACCAGAGCCAAGCTCTAATCTGCTCAGTCACTTGTAGCCATCACAATGCATGTTTAGATCTTGCTCTTTTCCTAAAACAAGGCATATATAGAAGGGTTAATGGAACTGTTCCTTTGCATAACTTCTGGCTTTGGAATATAGAGAGGTTTGGAGTTCAAATGACAATAACTAGGATTTTCAAAAAGGCCTCAGCTTCCCTTGAAAATTAGCTGGGTTGAGGTACTTATTTGAAAATGCCAGTTGATGCTTCCTGTGAATACTGATAATTGTAGCTAGATCAACCTAATCTGTATAAAATGTTCTCCTATACCCATTTCTGCCAAACACATTGTTCAGCATTGGTTCACAGAAGTTTCTGCAGATTTCTTTTTATCCTGGAGCCAATTATATGCAGTTATTGTTATCATTTGTCAAGAACTGACCTTTTTCAATTACTTCCAGTTTGTTTTTACTATTGAAATTGTACTCTTTTCCTGGATTTCTCTTTTTGTTCAATATCTATATCTTTGTTTCTTCTCTGTCTCTGTTCTCCTTGTACAGGGTGAAATGGGGGACACTGGCATGAAGGTAGGCAAGAGAAATGTATTTTTTACCACAGGGTTAAGCAGAAGTTGCCACTTAGAACACTGTATTGTAACAGAAAGTTGGGCTGGAGACTGGACTGTGAGTTTTTTAATAGAATACAAACATGTGGTGTGATTAACCATAGGCAGATACTCTACACGCATGCAAAGAAGTGCCCTTTATCCATTTTGTGGAATTCAATTCTTACCAAAGGCAATTTTCTGACTCTGAAGATTGCTAATGATTTGTTATTTCTTTCTATTTGATGAGAAGGGTTGGGGATTCTTTGCAAAGTCTGGTTAGCTGACACATCAAATCCATTCAAACTCTGCAACTCTTAGCTTGAGGTTTGGCATCATTCTTTCCATCTCCCTCTGTTTCTGTGCTGGACAATCCTTTTTACAGGCTAATACAGTTTTATGCCCGTATGTTATCTATTTGATTAAAATTTAGTGCTCCCATATATTTAAAATATATTACTTAATACAGATTGTGTTTAAAACATTACAAGACAGGCCATTTCTCATGATAGAGCATATTGTGTCATTCTGTACAAAAATGGGAAAAGTCCTACGTTTCTAATATTTTAAGTGCATTAACTATAATATGTATGTAATATAAAATATGGAGTATGTGAATGTATTTTAATAATCATGCAACAAAACACCCATATATATTTTTTTTTCCATCTGGGTAGATTATCATTCTAATGCACTAAAGTTCCTTTAAACTATACATTGACATGTGAGAATGAATTTAAAAAGATGTTCTTGGGGGATTTAGGCTCTGTGTTTCAGAGTTGCCTACTATGACAGCAAACATTTTCCTGAAATATTTATTTATAAGGTGGACTACAGCAACACTGAATGAACATTATAAGCAGGAATCCTGGTTTTCCGTTCACTGCGGAATCCACATTTTTCCATGACTTACTGAAAGCACAGCAGTGTCTCGCCACAGCTTTTGTGTCTTGGCCAATCAGCAGCTGGGGGTTGTGCATGCCACTGATTAACCCAGAAGCAAAAAATGAGGCAAAAATAAGAGAGAGCAGAAATGGCAATGCTTGGTGCAGGACATTGCTGTGCTTTTGGTAGGTTGTGAAAAAACGTGGATTTTTATGGTTTTAAATGGAGATTTTCCAATTTTAACCACAGAAAACTAGGATCCCTGATTACAAGTAAGTGCTTTGTGTACTAATAAACATGGTGCATGCTTAACCCCAGGGTATTTAGAATTACCCAGGTGTAATTCTGTTTCCTGCAATAGATGCACTCTTGATTTGCACTGAGATGAATGAGAGCAGAATCAGGCCATGACAGAGGTGTTTTAGGAGCTATGAAATTACCATGGTCAGGACACTTTCTTATTAATCTTTTTGGAATAATGAGCTGTAGGTGATTAAAGGCAGCATATACTCGCAAGTGAATACTTAGTAGACTCTAAGTCTCAACCCATTGCCTCATTGCTTAATGGACATCACTTGAGCTTGCACCATAAGTAAAAGCATTAATAAACCTCTGATTCATCTTCTGGAGCCCAAACTAAAAATACAAGGTCACTGTTCCTGACTAAAATAAACCCCTCACTAAGAAAGGTCAAATTGGAGAAGGCCCCAAGACTTCCTAACCCTTCTAATCCCCCTTGTCAACTCTAATTTAATTGATCACTTCCTTATTTTATACTGAAATTCTAGGGGCTTACCACAGACTCCTCTTTCCATTTCCTTGATGTCGCTAGGACAGGAACAGAAATGAGAAGACGGAGAAGGAATGGTAGTTGCTTTTTTATGGCAGACTGCGCTGAATGGAGAAAGGCACTTGGTACCTTCCCACCAGTCCAGTAAACCAGTCTCTTCTTTTCATTTGCGCCAAAAAAGGGAAGCTTCTTTAAGTCCAGTCATTGACCTCTTTTGGTCATTCACCCAAACACACATTCACAAACATGAACAACCACATTTTACATCAGTGACTGACAGATCAATGTGACCCTGGAGAAATATCCTTGCTCCTTAATTCATGCCAGTTGACTAAAGTGTAAGTTAAATCCTGCCTTCCTAGCAAGACATTTTGTGATAATACATTTTCATTATAAAGGGAAATCTTTCCATCTACAGTGTCATTTATTCCTTTTTAAAGAAAATTTTATCATTTGTTGTTACTAGTCTCTCTTTGCTCTGGGTTTTAGATTGTTCTCCAGAGAAATAGTTTCATAGTTAGTAGGGTCAGAAGGGACCTGAGCAGATCATCAAGTCCGACCCTCTGCCATGGCAGGAAAGAGTACTGGGGTCAAACGACCCCAGAAAGGTGACTGTCAGACCTTGTCTTAAAGACCCCCAGGGTAGGAGCCAGCGGCACTTCACTTGGAAGTTGGTTCCAGATCCTAGCCGCCCTGACAGTGAAGTAGCGCTTCCTGATGTTTAGTCTAAATCTACCCTCTGCGAACCTGTGACCATTATTTCTAGTCACTCCTGGTAGTGCTCGGGGGAACAGAGACTCCCCCAATGCCTGCTGGTCCCCTCTGACTAGTTTGTAACAGGCCACTAGATCCCCCCTCAGCCTTCTCTTGTGGAGGCTGAACAGGTTCAGGTCCCATAGCCTCACCTCGTAGGGCCTGCCCTGCTGCCCCAGTCATGTGAGTAGCCCTCCTCTGGACCCTCTCCATGTGGTCCACATCCCTCCTGAAGTGCAGCGCCCAGAACTGGACGCAGTACTCCAACTGCAGCCTCACCAGTGCCGCATAGAGGGGAAGTATCGCCTCCATGGACCTGCTCGAGATGCATCTGTGGATGTATGACAAGGTGCGGTTGGCCTTCCTGACTGCATCCCCACACTGTCGGCCCATATTCATCTTGGCATCAACGATGACTCCAAGATCCTTTTCTGCCTCTGTACTGACAAGAAGGGAGTTCCCCAGCCTGTAGGTATGGTGCTGGTTCTTCCTCCCCAGGTGCATCACCTTGCACTTGTCAGTGTTGAATCCCATCCTATTCTCGTCTGCCCACCCCTGTAACCTTGTCTAGGTCCGATTGTAGCCTATTCCATCCTTCTAATGACATTTCTCTGTGATTCCACTAAGAATGGAATCACAGAAAAATGTACCAAAATAGTATGAAATCAACAAGTAACAGTTACGGTATACTGATTTAAAGTGTAAGTTTTTCCTCCAGGCATTATGCTTCCTCTTTCTTCTTGATGAAAGGATCACTGGGACTCAACAAGACTATTTCTTCCCTCGGACCAGAATGTGCTGTGGGCTAATTTCCACCCCATATTAACATATGCAACCCTATTAGAAGTGATGAACTTTTAGGCTTCCTTCTGGTTGCTGGTATCACTGGTTACACAGTGCCTATGTTGTTCCTTGTCAAATGTTACTGCTTTCCTTGCATACATTCTCACAACTCAGGATGCGTACAGAAGTTGCTTTTTTGCCATTTAAAGTGCTTTATTGCTGTGACTTAACAGAAGTGCACGGCTTTACAGCACTTTAAAAATGGGTACATTTTAAAAATGAGGTATTAAATTTGAAGTGCTATATTTTGTAGCACTTTAGCAACCTACAGCGCTTTAAATAATTTCTGTATGGGTGTGTGTAGACAAAATGGGGGCCCTAAATTGAAGTGGTATGGGTTTTTAAAAACACCGCTTCAATTTAGGGCCCTTTAAAACCCCGTGTTGTGCACACACCCACTTACCTGCTTCTCCAGCAGTGGGAAAGGGAGGGCAAGCTACCCTGGGCTGTGGGGGGGAGGCTGGTGCTTCCCTCCGTGGCAGTGGCACATGCCTCCCCGCCCCCAAGGCAGCACCCACCTGCAGGCACCTGGATCGGGAGGTTCAGGGGGGGCACCACAGCCGTGGAGGGAAGCACCAGGCCCCTGTACAGCTCAGGCAGGCAGGCAGGCTCTAGGGGGCAGAGATCAGGCTTGCCAGGTTTTTTTCTTTATCTCTCTTGGGTGGAGCTTGCTTTCCCAGGCTGCTGCCAGGCTGCCTGCAGGACTTCCTGCAGAGCTGCGGAGCTGAACAGAGCTTCGCTCCGCACCTGGTAGGGCAGCAAACTAAAACTCCTCGGAGGAGTTTTAGTTTGCTGCACCCCAAGTCATTTAACGTGCATTACACTGCTGAATTTGCTAGAGCGGCTGGAATTAACGCGCAATACACCACCGAGGCGTGCAAACACCGACACCATTAAAGTGATGCAAAAGCATTTAGCCCACTTTAAAGTGTTGTGCACACACGTCCCTTGTTTCGTCTACACACGGCCTAAGTGGTCAAATTTCTGAGCAGTGGAGAAGCCCCAGGAGGCTGCAGAGTGCCCCCTGCCTCCTGGAAAGTGCAGGGAGGCTCAGAGGCCTCCCCCACCAAACACTGCACTCTGTCATACTTAGGAGCGTTGTAACTTTATCATGCCATAAAAAGTGTTCTAAATTACAGTGCTGTAAAGCATGTACAAAACACTTCTCTACACACCCTCAGCGTTTGTTGCAACGTTTGGTAATCCTTTCCATCCAGCCTCCATTTGTACTGTAAAGACACTGAATTCCCCTGAATCCACTAGAAAGTTTTATCAGTGATGTTGAGGAGATCAGATTTTGGTCCTTTGCCTGCATTGTTGTCCTCTGTCAAATTCTATTTACCTGATATTTCCTATTTTAGTTCTTAAGCTTTTTTAATGATCATTCCTTATTCCCAGAGGGAGAACACAATGGGTAAAACAAAAACTGGCTACAGGCCAGGAAGTCAGTAGGAAGTCAGTAGCTACACAACAGTCAGTCTCTGAGATCAAGAATCAAAAAGTGAGGTTTTCTTGGTGTTTTAATTAATGGCTCATTATTACTATTCAGTGCCAATGAGTTAAGTTTGAGTTTAGCCTGTGTTAAGACTGCTGAAATGAATTTCAAGAATAGGAATGGCAGGTCAAAAGAGGCACATTTGCAAGTACCCTCCGTGCTCAAGGGAAACACTGTAATTAATTTCTCTACACTCCGGCCTTAACAGATAGGCCTG